CAAATCTCCTCCGAATCGAATTGGCTACCAAAGCTTCGCATAGCCCTACTGGGTGGCACAATAATTTATCTTGCCAATGTGTGTTTTGTGGCTATTTCAGAACCCTCAGCTTCTTTCTTTGATATCCTATCTAGATATCAAATCTTGTGAATTAATACAACTTGTAACATCAGCTGTATTGTACATGTTCTCAAGTATGCTAGCTAATTGTTTGCAAGATACCTCCTCACAGGAGAACAAGACTAAGATTTTAGATATGACAATTTCTGTTGATAAAAGTATGCTCCGTTCTTCCTGTTTGCTTTATAAACTGATATGAGACCGTCACAGCTAGTTTAAATATGCTCCATGTTTATATTTTATTTATAAATCCTCCTGTAGATTTTAGACTGTTGCAACCTCTGATTATTCACACACTAAAGAAAATGTTAACATTTTTCACTTCTGAAAAGTGTTAGGTTACTATTCATTTTCGCTTTTGCTTGTGCACTGTTGTTAGTAGAAACAGATGATTAATAGATAATCTGCAGTTAAAGACGCTTTCTGTTTTAAACAGTAATCATGCAACAGGAGCTTCCTGGAGTTGAATTTCAGGAAAGGATTCAATTGAAATACGATAGATTGAGGGGAAAATAAGTTATGGTGTGTCAGACAACGAACGTACCTCCATCCACAGTACAGTCATTAATTAGGAGAGAGTGTGATGCCAAAAATACCATGAAAAATATTTTGTAAGTAATTGTAATAGGATATATGATTTATGGAAGTGAATTACCTACTACCATGTTTACTCAAATCTAAGTTCCCCTCAGTCAGCATGGAGTAAAAGCCCCTTATCTTAGATTCATATACAAAGTGGAGGGAGGTTGGGCAAGGTAGGCAGTTGCTGCGGCTCTGACTGGCCCTGAGCCCAGATCAGGGCCAGAGTCAGACCCACAGCAACTTCCTGCCCCCCATTCCACTTGCCGTCTGCAGCTTCTGGGGGGAGGGGCAGAGCCTGTGGGGATCTGGGGGTGGAAGGGTGCCGATGGTGGAGGTGGGGAGGAAGGCTGCAGGGGGAAGTAGTGGGGAGGCAGAGGGCAAAGGGACCACCTGACCCCCCCCCCACACTTCTTTCCCTGCTATAGTGGGGGGTGGGGGATGAATTTAAGGCAACCTTGCAATAATTAAATTCTATAGCTGGAAAATTATAACAAATGCATACAGAGTCTAATTATCTGGGGGAAATCTTAAATTCATGGTGAACTTAGATTTTAGTAAATATGGTATTTTAAACTGCAGCATATCAAATACTACTTAATGTATTTTTTTTGCTTGACCTTTTCTTGTGTAAGTGATGATTCCAGACAGTGGAAAAAGAAATCTCAGTTCTCATTTCTGAGCAGCTAAGAGCCTTGTGACACGGTATTTTTGGGCAGCTCTTGGAGCTCTTAACATCTGGATTGTCAGTACAGTAACACCTGAAACTAGTTTTAAGCGCTTGTTATGTCCTTAAAGTTATACCAGTCCAGGGCAAGATTATCCCTGAACCATGCTACCCGGCTCCTGTTGCACTTAGCTATAGCCACCTTAGTGTAAACACTCCACCTGTCCCCTCCTCTTCTGGGTAGGCAGGTTAACCCTTCCCTGCCTGTTGGGACAGATAGCCGGGCAGCTATAAGTAGGTGGGGATGAGAGGGTGCCAGAGAGGAGCCCTGAGGGTTAGTGGGGAGCCAGGAATGGCGCCCAGTGGGGGCAATTCTTACCTTTCAGTCCTCCAGGTACAGTTACCATATTTCCAGTTTTGAAAAACAAGACATCAGTCAGGGAGGGTAATATGATTGTTAGGGGGGCAGTGATATGCCTATGCCGCTAATAATGTTTTGTAGCAGGTGTTCTGAGTTACAATAATCCCCAGACCAAACAGAAGTTCACTGCTGGCTCCAGGGGGGAAGGGAATCCAGCTGCTGACTTTGAGCCTGCAGACTTTTTTCCTTAGCAACACCCCCTCCTGCCTCCCAGCCCCGCACTGTTTTCAGAATGGGAGGGGGGAAGGGGAGCAGAGGGAGTTTGTTCTAGGGATTCCCCAGCCGGCACTGGAGGGTGGGTTGGGGTGGGTGGATTGAAGCCCCTCAAGGTCGAGGGGCAACAGGAGCAACAGGAAGGTGGAGGGGGGACTCCAATCCACCCACCCCACCCTCCAGCGGGGGCTAAAAAAAAGACCCAGATTGAACTCCCTCCACTCCCTTTCCCTCCTCCCATTCTGAAAACAGCTCAGATGCTGGGACACAGGCAGATGCAAATTGCCGAAGATGCTATGTTTTGAAACATCTTCATCTGAACCCTCAGATTTTTGCAGGATCAGGCCCTTTTAAAGTAATTTGCAACCATGCATGGTAGAGTCCTTTCAGGGGCCAGATCAGGTGAAAATTGTCACTTCTGTCTGTGCCCACAGTGCAAGTGTAACAAGACCCTATAGCATCAAATTTGGTTGTATGATAAAACATGACCATCAGTTTTCAGGTTTTGGTCTCATACAACTGTATTAAAATGAATATTGCTGTTTTTGCAACTGTCTGTCACTTAGCCTTATATTTACAGTTTGTCCTCTGTTCTAAGTAGTACTATGAGATGTCGTGATTTATTTTAAATTCACATAAAAATTCAAATACCGAATAGTATGCAAGATATTATCATATTTAAAATGTAGATCCAGTCATGTAGAATCGCACTTATATAAGTTCTCCACTTTTTGTTCATGGATGTTTTACTCTAAGTAGAGGAAAGCTTCCAGAAACATGTAGGCACCTACACTTCGATCATTCATTTGTACCTGCAACAGATCTAAGAGTGCATCTTGTTGTATGGGTGGTTTCGATTAAGTGCACTGTGGAAAACTTATGTGTTACAAATATTTCCATCAAGAGCAATTAGCTGGGAGGCTGGTGGTTAAAAGCTTGGGTAAACAGGTATGCATGGTATCATGTGTTATAACGAGGTGTCATTTTAGACCGTGCTGATATAAAGCCATCCCCTTTTCCTCCTCATTAAGTAGTCTACCAAAAAGACAATTTTTACTTTGCCCTGCATTTTAATGTTGGCCACTTTGTGGAATCCAAGCAGTGGTTCTAATGGTAATTGCTACAGTTTGGAGGATTTTCCATATTTTAAATGGTACTTTCAAGTATATAGCTCCACATTTTTTTGCAGCCGTTTTAAAATCTTTAGAATATTTGCCCTCGCCCTTTGAATCTGATTACAAACAGATGTCACATTTGTCCCAAGCAAAACCATTTTATCCTGGGACAAACTGCAGTTGTTCAGATGCTTATTCCTGTTGTCCCAAGACAAACCTTATGAAAGGATAAGAAGTGCTAACAGTTTTCTCTGGATATTGTGAAGTGATTCTGAATAGGATTACTTCATTGAATTGGTGGCAGAAAAATGGCAGTGCATTCAGTTGCTCGCTGAACCCTGATTGGAAGGATGATGCGTGTACATGTCAGTCCTGGGACTTTTCCCTTCTGGGACAAATGCAACGTCTGGTTCTTGTCTCTGCCAAAATGAATAAGCTTCTGTACACAAGGCAGGATTAGCTATCTTTGCAGGTATCAGCAAAGCATTTGTTAGAGTTCACAAAGCCTCAAACAAGATCCTTTCTAGAAGAGTAAAATGTCCATTTCTGTCATAATGGTCATTAAGTCTAACCTGAAATAGAAAATACTTACAAACTGACCTTTCTTGACTACCAAAGGAGTAATGTACCTTAGGCTACATCAGCTACTGAGCCAGTTGCAACTGTTTTAGGATGGTTGTGACTGCTGTATGGCTGTGATAGGAATTCATTTTAAAAGATTTTGATAAGTTCTAGGGCCAGATTTCTCTAGAGGATCTCCTTCCAGCCATTTGTGAGTGCTGAAGGTTGGAGGGAACAGCACAGTACCTCTTGCATCGTAGCCTCTACAGCCTTAATAGGAGCAACATTCAGTTATCACGAGCTTGTACCCAGTTACGTATATTATAAAAACAGCTGAATTTCCTGCTTTGTTCAGCAGCAGTGCAAGCATTTTGAAAGGTTGCCAATAATACTTCTTTTGTTAGTAAGAGTAACAGACACATTTTCCTGGCATTTCCACATCTATCTCTTTGCTAAACATAGTCAGGGTTTTTATATTTTTGTTGTGCTGTCAGTGTGCGGAGCAGAATTTGACTGATCTCCTTGTGAAGTCAGTCCATTCAGGCTTTCTTTATAAATGTTGGGGATGCATCCTGAAGTAAAGTTTGTTTCTGTTTGCTCTGTCTTTCTATTATGTGTGAATGACCAACCCACAGTCCTAATAAATGGAAAACTTCACTGGAATTATTGCGTTTCCCATGTTGTATTCCTTATTGTCATGGCTGATTTGTATTGCAGAGAAGGACTAGATTGTAAGTGTGTATAATGGCAAGGAGACAAGTGTGAATGTATACTTTTAATAAGGTTAAGAGATGTATATTACCTTGTGATTTCTGTGTGGTGGATTCTCTTCTAAATACTTGATTTCTAAGGTATTAGAACAGGGAATCATGATGACTCGGGTGCATCATCTTTAACAAATATCTGAAGTTTCAGTGAGTTTTTATTTCAAAGCTTGAGCTTTATAAATGGCCCATGACTGAGGCTCAACAAAAATGTTACTATTATTTCTTTACCAGAAGTAAAATATTCCTATTCTTATTCAGGGGCAGCATGGAGGAATGGTAATAATAATATATATGATACATAATATTATGATGTATACTATTAATGATTATAATATATCTGAAAAATGTTATCCTTGATCCAATTAGGCACAGATGATAATGTTCCATTGCCAGATTTTAAAATGCCAAATTTTAAAAAGTCTCTTTATGGTATTATTAGCTTTGTATTATAAATATACATCTTATGGTCCCTTTTTTCCGTGGCTCATGGGGGGGGAGGGGGGGTGTACTGTAGCTGAACTAGAACAGGTTCTATAACTTGTTTTGCTCTTTTACAGCTTTTGTTACTCTGCTAAATGGAGAACAGGCCCAAAATGCAATTCAGAAATTTCACCAACACTGTCTTCGTGGTAAAGAAATATCAGTGCAGCTGCAACCAACAGATGCTTTGCTTTGCATTACCAATTTGCCCACCTCATTTACGTTACAAGAATTTGATGAACTGGTGCGTACATATGGCAATGTCGAGAGATGTTTTCTGGTCTATAATGAAGTTACTGGCCATTCAAAGGGTTACGGGTTTGTGGAATACATGAAAAAGGACTCTGCTGCAAAGGCTAGACTGGAACTTCTGGGAAAACAGTTAGATGAAAACACCCTCTTTGCGCAGTGGATGGATGTTAATCAGTTGACCATGGATCTTCTTCATTCTAAGTGCCTTTGTGTTGATAAACTCCCTAAAGACTATGCTGATTCAGAGGAACTGATGCAAGCTTTCTCACTGAAATATAAACCTGTGTTCTGCCAGGTATGTATATATGAATTGATAGCTTTCAAAAGATGCATATGGAGATGTTTTTAGTCTTGGATTTGCATATTTTTTCTACTCCATTGTTTTACTTTTAATTTGACTGATTATATACATTATGATGTATATACATATGATGTAGTAATGTATGGAGCAATACTAATGTTTCATTGACATAGGTTTACCATATAGGAGGCCATCCCAGTTAAGTGTAAATATAAGGTTTATAATGTGTTCTCTTCCTGTGTATTTCACAGAAAAAGATTTCAGAAATATTTTACAGAGCTTCTTAGATAGATTTTAATTTCATTTTTATTATTTGATCTATAAAGCTAGATTGTGTTGGTACCTTAAATATAATGGCACAGGACTTAAAGAAAAGTATTTTAGAAACCTTAAAAAAATCTCAAGTAATTTTCTTTGATTTGTAAAGTTGTAGCCTTAAAGGCTAATAGTTTCCAACGCCAGCACTAACTAGAAATAAGTGTTGTTTCTGTTGGAAAGGACATATAAGTTGTTGCTTTCTATTGGTATAAAGGCTTCCCACCCTGTCCTGATTTATAAGGTATGAGAGCACAAAACCTAACTTGTTATGTCAAGCTTTCCTGGGCCCATAGGTCTCTAATCCCTAGACTAGAATATGAAAGAAAAGCTACTTTTAGAGTATCCCAACCTAGCCTGGCTTGTCATTTCAAATAATAAAATCAGGAGTTTCTGACAGGGCCTATTTTCCATAAAACCATGTTGAATGTGCAGTTTGAGGTTGTTGATAAGTTCATACATTTTCCACCTTTAACTGTGGACCGCATCATGAGACAGGTGATGTGTGATATCACATATGCTGATGATACTCATGCAGCAGGTGGCAGAGCCAGTCAATATTGCCCATAAAATATTCAGCATAAAATATTAGAGTGCTTTGTTATTGGAAGTAATGCAGCCATTCCAAGAAAACCTTTTTTAACACCTTCAGGTCTTCTCTCTGTCTCTCATAAATATGTATCATTACAGACTAATAACATTTGTTATTTATTGCATTATTGTAGTACCTGCAAGCTCTAGATGGATCAGGATCCCGCTTGATATAGGCATAGAACAGAACTAAAGACGGTCCTTTTCCAAGGAGCTTACAATCTCAGTTAAAGTCAAGATACAAGCAGATAAAAGTACAAAGAAGCAGCAAGAAAACACTGGCTAAACATGATAAGCAGTCGTCTCAGCACTCCCACAACTTAGGCCGGGGTGGGCAATTATTTCGGGCAGAGGGCTGCTTACTGAGTTTTGGCAAGCCATCAAGGGCCTCATGACAGGCAGCCAGGGGCAGAAAAATATTAATTTTCCAAATGTTTTAGGGGCTCCGTGGGCTGGATAGAATGGCCTGGCAGGCTGTATCTGGCCCGCGGGCCACATTTTGCCCACCTCTGCCTTATGCCATAGAAAGGTCTGTTAGTGAGGTATGCTAGTTGCATGGTGAATAATAAAATCACACCAGTTGGCTGACATAACTATGCCAGCAAAACCCAAGGTGTGGATGCAGCTGTCCTGACAGAAGACAACGTCTACCAACCAAGCTTCTGCCATTCAGGGAAGCTGGTGTAAGTCTAGCGGCAGAAAGTATTCTTCCGGCAGAGTAGCCTTCACACCTAGAAGGCTAGGATACAGAGACTATAGCTAAGAATGGAGCAGCCCTGTCATGTATATTAAGTCCTAGGCTTTTTTTGACAAGGTTTTTTATAGGCTTAATGAAAAGGGACAGTTTTAAGAAGAGTTTTAAAGGGCTGTAATATATAAGTTTTGTGATGCCTTTGGCGAGCAACTTTAGTGCGTGAAGACAGTGTAAGGGAAAAGCACAAAGGTGCTTGTTTGAGAATCAAACACGTATGAGACAGAGGATTAATTGGAGGAGGGCATTTACACCATTGGTAAATCATCTGAAAATGAGCCATGACTAGCCTTAAAAGTAAAAATAAGTAGATTGTTTGTTGAGACAGCGGAGGGGGCTAGTACAAGGATGAATAGAGATGAGGAATGTGGTCAAAAGGACAGGCTAGGAGCACGATCTTTGCAGCAGCATTCTGAATTGAACTGCGTGGGCCTAGGTTGCATTTGTCAAGGCCCCAGAAAAGGATGTGGCAGTAACTGAGATGCAAGATCAATGGCAGCTAGAAGGACAATTTTACCTGTGTGGATAATAATACCATATTTACTTGAATTTAGGATGACTCTGATTATAAGATGCCCCCCCAATGATTAGATTTTACGTACGGGAAATTTATAAATGTATTACAATTTTCCAGGTATAGAATCTATTTATTGGAGGCTTGCCTTGAATTTGTCCCCCTCCCACTGCTACAGCGGGGAAAATAAATCTAGGGGGTCAGGAAGCCCCATTCCCTTCTGCCTCTCCCCATCTTCTTCCCCACGCAGCCCCACCGTCCCCTTCCTTACTTGCAGACCCTGCTCTCCCTGAGCATATGGAAAAGAGGAGTAAATTTTAAAGCACTGACCTCAAAATAAGCATAGCTGTAGTAACTTGAACATAATACGCATAGACTTAGTTCACCCAGAATTGATGCAGTTTACCTATATATATACCTAATATATATATTACAAACTGGGCTGGGACCCAGCAGTCAACAGCATTTCAAGCCATGGTGACCCGACAGCTTAGCAGTTCTCAGTATGATTGCATCCGGGTGAGCGGGAATGTGCTGTTTGCAGTGCCTCAAAGCCTTTTGAGGCTCCACGAAACATGTGCAATGCTCATGGTTCCATTTGCCAAGTTGCATATTTGCAATGTGGCAGCAAAATTAGATAATGGGAAATCCCAGTATCTAAAAAATCGGTGGCAGAAGAAAGCAGGGCAGCACACGTGGATACAGTGTGCACCATCTGAAACCAGAGCCTGACCAGCCAGAGCCACACTGCAGCTGCCAGCCAGGCTCCACACACCTGGATTGCTGCTGCTGCAGCCCTGGGAGGCCCCTAGGACCTCAGGTGAGTTGCTGACCCCAGCCTCTCCTACCCCGCTGGGGCAATTTGTCATGCCCCAGAGCATGCATGCACGGGCATGCCATTGTGCCACTGCTGTTTGTCCCTGGGGAAATGTACTTCCCGCTTGTCTGGATGCACCCTATGTGTGTGTACTCCAGATACACCCCCACATCCATGTGCTAATTAGCCCCCACTCATGACTGGAACTGGGTGTTCTTGTCATAAGGTTTGAGATGGTCCAAAAATTTATATGCAGATAAGGCACCAGGCAGCCTGGTTTGGCTTTACCTCATGGAGGCAGGGCCACCCTAACCATATGTGACAGGCTTAGACAGGGGCAACAGATGGAGTCTGGGTAAACTGTTTGGTGATGTTTGCCGGATATTTAAGACTGGTGAAGAAACAGGAATAATTGGAAATGGGAAAGAAAAGTGCAGCTCAGCTGTGGGAATGAAGAGGAAGTCGAAATATATAGATTGTAGTGGCTCAGCATGACTTCAAAAGAGCCGGTGCTGAGGGGGACCGCATTCATTGGGCACTACCATATATCTTTTCCAGGGGATTACACTAATCTATCCTTGTGGTAGCAGAATGTTTGACCAATATGGGCAAAGTATTTTTAAGTCATACATGGCTGCATGTACAAGAAAAAAACTTGTATTTGAGGAAATACAGTATTTAGAGATTCTGTGCTGAAACACATCTGCAAGATTTAGACATAGCTTGGATGTCTGGACTTGGAACAGGATCTAAGTCAAAGAAGATCCCTTGCTTACTGACCTGAGTGCCAAGCAGGATGGTGGAGTTGTCCATAGTAATTAAGAAAAGAAGTGGTGGGGGCTGCTAGCGGGGAGATTAAGAATGTAGTTCTAGACATGGTGAGCTTCAAGGTTAGAAACAGAAATTAAACATAAACCGGTATAAGTGATTGGAAACTGGTTCAAGTGTCTAACGCAACAGAAGTTCAGTGCACATAAACTGCTTTCAAAATGGTCGAAACGGGTTTAAGATACCCTGGATGGATATAATATCAAACTTAACTGATTTAGGTTAAATTGGTTTATTGAACTCCTGTCCTATCCCAGATCCCCTCCAGATTCAAGTTAGCTCACAGTTCCCCATCATCCCAGGATGCTTTGCTGGGTAAGTGGACTAGACTTGGCTTAAGCTGTGTGTTCCAGCCAAGCAAGGATAACATGCTCTAGTACCTCCCTTTCCCCTGCCCCAGCTTCTGGTCTGGGCTACTGCAGGCATGTGGCTGCATTACCAGAATCAAAAGTAAATGTGTGTTCACTCTCTTATCTGTTCAATCTCTGCAGCTTAGACTACCCTGCAAAGATTGAATCAATTCAGGCTTGGGCATTTTGACAGTGGTGTTGTCAATATGTGATGTTGCATCACATTAGCAGTACATTAAGGCAATTTAGCGTCAGTGGTCACAAACTATGATGCAGCTACATTGCTGTAGCAATGCGCTGCTTCATTATAGCGTGTTGCTACGGTCATGTAGCAAGTAAAAATAACCGCGCACAGTGCAGCCTATTACTGCACCAAAAGGAAGTACTAAATGATGGTGAGGTAACAAAGGCTCCATAGGGGCATGTGTAGAGGCGCCCAGTGTGTGCTTAGCCCAAATGATAGATGTCAGAGGACATTCTGGGATATGGGCTTGGACAAAAGGAGACGTGTGAGCAGAGTGGTAGATCTAAAGAGTTTTCACCATGGTGATGCCAATTGAATTAATGACTATGGATGAGATCACCCAGAGCAAAGATATCCAAGGAGAAGAAATGGGGCCTAGGGACAGAGCCCTGTGAAAAAAGTCAGAAGCAGGGATGGGGACAATCTTACTAAAGCAGTGACAAGTTGTAGAAGGAGAAGCAATGTTATGTAAGCCAAAAGAGGACAAGATTTCAAGAGAGGTCCAAGATTTATTATGTTAAACACCCATAACAGTTTGAGGAGGAGAAGGATGGAAATGTTGGTTCTGAACTGTGACTGAGAAGAACTCATTATAGAAAATGGGTTATTGTTTTTATTATGGTTTCCTAAATATAGTCAGGTATTACTATTCATTAACAGATTGCCTTTGGTACTAACTCTTCATCTTGTAAAAATGTTTTAGCTTGAGGATTTTGCTTAAGAATTTTATTCCTTTTGATGTATTTATTTCCCTCAATCTGTAACTTTACTCTTCCTTATACTATATACTATTCTTCCTCCCTTGTTCCCTCCTTCTGTACCAGAAATATAGACTTTTCTTTAAGGAAGAGCTGCATCCAAATATTTATAGACACTTTCTAAAATGCCCCCATTCCCTGCATATGACTTGTGAAAATGTTTGTCTCCCACACTCCTTGCTTCAGTTATGGAGAATGAGGCAACTACTAAACCTTTTCTTACTTCAGCTCTTAGGTTTTCAGTAGGAAGTCTCCATTTGGGTTTTAGTGATTTTCCCCCCCACCTTAACTTCACACAGATCATGGTGGCTGCAGCTTTGCAGGTTGAAGGTGTCATGTTTATCTGGATTTCTAACTGAGCGAAGCTGTAGTAGTGCAATTTGTTATAGAAGTGCAGCCATCTAAAGCCTTTGTCTGTCTGTCTGTCCATAGCGCTCTGGGCCAACTGCACACATGCCACCGAGAGGACGCATGCCTATTGGCTGCAAGGGCCTGGAATGTTATGGACAGAGGGAGCAAGGGAGCTGCTGCGCCGCCCCTCCCGCCCACCAACAACAGCTAGCAGGGAGGGGGTGGTGATGGGGAAGAGGAGAGAAAGGGAGGGAGGGGAGCAGGAAGGGGAAGGTGGGTTTCTGGGGCCAGCGCCCCCTGCTGCCGCCACACCTCCCCCCCACCCCTCTACTTCCTCTCTGCTCGGCCCCAAAAACAGCCAGCAGAGAGGGGCAGGCAGCAGGGAGAGAGGAAGCAGGGGATGTTACCTGCCGCCGGGTGTCGGCAGCCGCCACCACATGCAAGCCCCCCTCCTGCCCTGTGCCTGGAAGCTGCCAGCGGCGTAGGGTGGAGTGGCAGGGGATGGTGGGGCACATGGGGCTGAACTGAGGGGGTGGGGGAGGGTGCATGAGGCTGGAGTTGAGGGGGACGTGGGTGGGGGATGCATGGGGCCACAGGCAGAGTGCCAGTACTGCAGGGCATTGGGTGGCAGCACTCTATCCCTACCCACCTACCCCCCATCCCCACCAGTCATTCATGATGGGCAGTTTGCTAGTTCTTTATAAAAGTCTGTCATATCTTAACCAGGGGTTTGTAGCAGTGCAGCAACATTATATAGATAAAACACAGTTTAGACAAGCTCTCCTATTTCCTCAGCCCTCTTCCCTTCCAAAAGCTGGAGGTTATTTCCAACTGCTAGATTTGACATTAGTGATTTTAACCCCCTGCAACTACTGAAGAAGCTGTAAGAAAATTACTATTATAACCCTTATTACTTAAAGAACTAAATACAGTAATTGAAAATTAGTTGACTTTCCAGTCAGATTGAAAGAACGCTGTCTTTTCTCTACATCATGTTGAACAATGATTCTATATCACTTCTCTTTACGTTAGGAATTGACACTACTGCTTAAAAGATACGGTCCATATTTTAACTTTCTTGTTTAACAAGAAGTTAGTGACTCTACCATAAAACATTGTGTATAAAGCATAGGCGGCGGTGACTTTAATTTTTGCTGGGGGGGCTAAGATGATGCCCACCTCCCTTGCCCCTGGTGGCACAGCTGGAGCAGAGCTGAGCAGAATCCTTGGGGGGGTTGGGGGTGGATGAGGGCTGCCCAGTGCAGGCTTGGGGCTCCCCACCTTGCTGTCATTCCCATGGGAGGTTCACACTGGCCATGCTGCCATGGCCAGGCGCCCCCTGCTTGCCTAGCAGCAGCAGCAGCAAGGGACTCAACACCATGCTGCCACCCCCACTGCTGCCGTGTGGGCAGGGGGCACCTTGCCATGGTGGGGCAACCAGCGCGGGGCTCCCAGGGGAGGGCAGAGGGCCCTGAGCCCACAGCAGGCAGCCTGCATCCGCCTTCATCCCATGCACAAATCTGGGGGGCACATGCTCCCTCATTCCTCCTTCCCCAAGGGTGCGTGTAGCAGCAGGGAACCAGCTCCCCCTCACCCCCCAGCATGAACCACTCCTGGTTCTGTCCTGCTCCCCACCCCAGCCCTGGGCCTCATGCACCACCCTAGCTGGGCAGCGCCCCCAGCCTGAGCCTCTGTCCCACTCCCTCCCTTGCTGTGGGGCCTTGATCTACCCCCATCATCCAATTTACCTGCAGGCAACTGGAGGAGCTGCTCTCCATTGCTGCCTGGGTGTATATTCCTGGCCATGTGCATGTGTGCGCCTACCTAGCCCCTTTCACCTCCTCCCCCACTTACCAGATGCAGCTCAGCTTCCCACTGCCTAGAATTGGGGTGGGCAGTTATTTGGGCTGGAGGGCCACTCAAGGAGTTTTGCTGCACCCTTGAGGTCAGGGGGTAAGGGCAAGGCTGACCCAGCCCCGGCCCCTGTCATAGCTGATTATGCTAAGTTGAGGGGCAGCGGGGAAGGAAGGGGCCCAGGGAGATTCCAGTTTATCCTAGCTGGACTGAGCAGGCAGAGTCTCCATCAAGACCAGCCTAGACCCCTGTGGGCAGGACTCACTCAGTTGGGTGGATGGGATGGGGTCAAGGGCAGGAAGGGAGTGGGACAGGTGATTGTAGGGTGGTGACAGCATGGAGCCAGGGCCTGGAGCAGAGCCATGAACTGCTCCCCACACTTTCCTGCAATGGATATTGGTTCTGTGGGCAGGGACCTGAGGGGAGTAGATCATGGCTCTGTCCCAGGCCCTGGCCCTGGCCCTGTGCTGTCACCACCCCAAGATCCTGGCCCCAGCCCTGCCCACTGTCCCCTTGCCACCCACCTGTGGCCCCATTGCATCTGCCCAGCAGAGTGTGTCCTGCTCACTGGGGTCCCAGGCTGGTCTCTATTGAGACCCTACCTGCCTGCTCCATCCAGTGCCCCTGGCAGTGGGTGTGGGGTGGTTGTGGGTCTGGGGTGTCTAGGCAGCAGTGCTTCAGTCTGGCAGAGGTGGCAGGGCATGTTCCTGGTCCCAAGTGGCAGCAGGGGCTGCTGGGAAGCTGAGTCCAGCTGCCGTGCCTCCCCTGCTCTACCACCCACCATCTCCTGGCCCTGCAGACTAAAGCTCTCAGTTCTCAAGAGCTATGTTTAGGGATAGGGCGGGCTGTGCCAGGCAGCATGTCCACGCCTGGGGTGGCAGGATGGCCACGTGCACCATGGCTTGGGCTGTCCCCTGTGTGTGGGTCAGATGAGGCCGAGGGACCCACCATAGATTGAATGGAATCGCTTGGTGGTCCAGATTCAATCTGTGGATTGTGTTTTGCTTACCCCTTGCCTACAAGCTGAAGCTGCATCTGTCACAGCAAGGATGCAAGGGACCAGGGGAAGCAGCAGTGGTGGCATGGGCACAGGCAAAACCCTCCCGTTCTATAGGCTGAATCCAGTGACTCTGTGGACCAGATGTTACCCTTTTTCATGTGGCCTTACAAAGAAAGTACTACTACTTAGAAATGTGTTTAAACCAAATATCAAAGAAATTATAATTTTCTTACTATAGAAAATAAAAGTGAATGTAAAAATAGTAGTATTCAAAAACTTTACATACTTGAAAATTTCATTCTCCTTTATAAAATAACTGTATTTGTAGCTGTTGAATAAATTTTATAGCTTAGGCTTTCCATGAGATTAGATATAAAGGCAGTGGTAATTTGAGTAGATGCAGCACAGCACATACGCTAAATATAATATAATAGTGTATTTGCATATTACATTTAGCATACATGGGAAGAAATGTTATAATTGGGGTAGGCATTGCAAATTAGTTAATCATAGGAATGTTAAATATTTTGCACAGGTAATTAATGCTCAGTGCCAGGGGGAGGGTGAAAATATTTTAAAGCAGCTGCTGAAAGTGTGTGCTTTATTAAGCATATTGTGAAATGCCATTTCAGTTTGCTCAGAATGAAGACAGTTATATTGGTGGCTTTGCAGTAATTGAGTATGAGACTTCAGAGCAGACGGAGAAAGTGCGAGAAGCCACAGATGGTATGATTATCAAAGGAAAGAGAGCCCAGGTTTCATACTGTGCTCCTGGGGCACCAGGGCGAAGCACACTAGCAGCACTTATTGCAGCCCAAAGGATGGTAAGTAACCTTTCCGTTTTCAAAGAGAAAACAATTCAAAATTTTAAATGTATATTATACATTAATATTATACACACACACACATGTGCCTGCACACAGACAGACAGACATATATGTGAATTAATGAGACCTCTGTGACAAAAGTTCATACATACTTCGTATATCTGGCAAGAAGGTGATTATTCAATCAAGTGAAAATCTTTTTAAATGAGGAAACTATTGGCCTCATTGAAATGTTAACACTTAAAACATACCTCTACATTAAAAAGAGACTCTGTAAAATAGCTTTGGGAAGTACTGTCTTTATCAAAATGTTTTTCGTTTGTCTGTGAAAAGAATCATTTCTTTAACTTTTCTTCAACCAAGAGCTGAGCTTATAACTTGATCTGCTCAAGTTGAGTTACAAGTGTTATGCTGTAGCAACACTGCAGAAGTGACTTAGTTTTATGTTCAGATTGGCCAGAGCATATTAGTTACCCAGTGCCAAATCTGCCTTCTCCCTGTCAAAACAAGGCTGTATAATGCAAGGATGAAGAGTAAAATTTGGCCATACAACACATGTAACAATCAAATTCTAGTAAGTTTAGCATCTGTGGGTACATCCAGACGAGTGTGGCTCTGCGGACGTGGTGCTGCAAACATGTCTGTAGTACCACTACTGCACAGTCAGTCATTCTCCGCGTTGGAAGTGCCTGCTGCCAATGGATGCGCTGCTCTAATTTTTTTTCCCCCTTCGGGTATTTTTGACCCCTGGATATCCAAGGATCAAAAAAAACAGAGTAGCATATGCTTAGGCAGTACACACAGGTGAAAAGTGGAGCCGGGCTGCCTGGAGCCGTACTGCAGCTGCTGCCCAGGCTCTGCCTGGCAGGATGACTACAGCTGCAGCCCCAGGAGGCCCCCAGGCAAGGCTGCTGGCCCCAGCCTCCTCAACTGCCCCTGGGGTATCTTGCCACACACCAAAGCACACATGGTACAGGTGTTCCCTGGGAACATCTAACTGCAATGCAAGGTGTGCTGCTGCTGCTTGTCCCCAGAGAACTAAACATCCATACTCATCTGGATGCGCCCAGTGAGGGAAACTATTTCAGTTTTAAAATAAGCCAAATTGAGAAGGCGTACTTTTTAGAGCTGTGATTTGGTTTAAAATACGTATTTATGTGATTTAAAAATACATTTTAAGGTCGTAGGATGGCTAATTTCATGCCTGATGTAGAAGAAGCTTGTATATCCTGCATGTCATATCAAATCATTGCTTAGAAAATTGGAAGTGAAGGTGAGTTGTTTGAAGCTGTCATGAAAGTAGTAGCACAGTATTCTTATTGCTTTGGATAGCTTTGAATACATGACTCTGCTTTTCTGTAGAGCTCTACCCCACAACTCTATAGAAGAGGTGTGTTTGTGTTCTTACAGAATAAGTCTTAATAATGTATATTTCATCACCTCCTTTACTAGCTAAAATTTCTAGTTTTGTGGAAAAATATTTTCTCTGAGGAAAACCTGCCATCGTTTTGTGTAAAAGATACTCTGGAACATACTGTTCATTACATCTAAAACAGTGATTCTCAACGGGGGTACTGCAAAATCCTTTGAGGTGTGTGAGGAGGTGCAGGTTCGGGCTTGTACCTGCCTGGCTGTTCCCTTTCCCCCACTTCCCTGCCCCCTCTGCAAGGAGGTAACAGTAACAACTGTAACAAATAGTTTTTGAAATGGGATGGCATTCAGTTCACAAAAGTTATGAACGAGTGCATTGAGTCTAAAAAAGCTGAGAACCACTGCACTAGAAAGTAATTAATTAGATGTATTTGCAGACAGTTATCCTGCAGGGATCTTCTATTCTCTGTGACAACATGGTGTTCTAAGAAATAAATCTGCACAGGGATCTAAATGCATTCTTTTTACTAAGGACATTCTTGCATGCGGAGAATGCTTGAGATGCTATATAGAATATGCTTTTGTTTCACCCTGGTTCTAACATTTCTCCATCTCTGCTCTTTTGAGATGAGAAACAATAGGAAAGGATTGCTTCCAGAGCCAAACGCAGTCCAGATTATGAAAAGTTTAAATAACCCGGCCATGCTACAGATACTTTTGCAGCCCCAGTTGCGTGGATGTGCTGGTAAACCTGGTAAGCTTTTAAGAACTGAGAAAGCAAATATGCCAAATCTCCTTCCCCCGTATGTCGGAAGATGATCCTTGTTCCCTTCCAGTCCTATGATTCTAAGATTCCAGTCCTGTGATTCTGTCTTTTGTGCTATATATGAAAATGTTGAATCTCCATGTGTGAATGTTGTTTTATGTTAAATCTGCTGATGCCAGTACATATATAGTTTTACTTTATGTTTACAGTATAGTCTATGTCTGCCAGTCTTGCAGCACTCTTCCCCACACTTACGGCTGCAGTAACTCATTTTTTAATGTCTTGGATAAACATATCGCCTTTAGCTTTGGAGGAAGGGAAGACATTTTTACATCCAAAGTATCATAATTGTCTCTAAATATTTTTCCTTATGAAAGTTACAGCAGATAGAGGGACAGCAAACTGGTTTGAAAGCTAATTTAAATGTTAGTGTTCCTTGTACAACCTTACTAACTAACTCTTCAATTTACATATATTTATGTTAGAAATTGGCTTAATATGTAATCTGTGTCACAAACATCTTTAGACTTTGAGTGTTCGGATCTGGTTCCAGATGTGTACTTTGCAATTCAAGTCCTTCCCCAGTGCATAATATTTTAAAATACTTTTTTCACTTCTGTGTTTCCATAGATACATGTAGCATTATACAAGCATAGTTCTGGTTAAGGTCATTTCACTAAAGGAACTTGCCTTCTCATTAGGTCAGACAATAAAAAGGAATCTAATACGTTTCAAAGAACTAAAGGGTTAAAAAGAACAGGAACAGACAATCTGCAGATTTCAGGAAAGAGAGATTTAAGAATATAGGATGCTGAAACAGTGTGAATGAGGTTCTGTGTTGTCTTTTAGACTAGAGATTCAGCACACTGGGGGGGAGAGGAAGAGGATGATGAAGCTGTAGGGTGTCTTTTTGCCACCTTTCTATCCTGGCCTGTTTTAGGCACTGTACAAATCTCTGGGTTAACTGTCAGCAGTCTCTCTATGGACTACCCCATCAGCTTTAGGTTGTCCTTCCTGCTCTTAGGACCACCAGACTTGGATTTCAGTGGTATTTTGTGCAGGCATTGTAGTTCTTCAGCATGCTTTTAATCATAAATGTATTTGGAGAGGCCAAATGGAATAATGTATAAATATGAATACCAGTACATAAAGAATACATAAAAATAGATATTTATGTACCTGAAGAAAAATGCCTTACATTCAAAAATGTACCTAAATCTATCTCAGCCATGCAGTTAGACCAATAAAAGATATCATGCCAAAAAAATCCTTGCCTTTCATATATTTCTTGGACCATCACAGCTACAACATCACTCCAACACTACCATATCTTTATATAACTTGTTTTTTAAAATTCTCTAAGTATTTCATTATTAACATCTTGTATTTCCTAAAACAGTTCTTGGAGCTTCTGCTGGTTTCCCTCATCTTGTAAATACAGCAGTCAGCCCAGTTTTGAATCTGAATCAAGTTCACCAGGTATGTTTGCTCATGTGAAATAATGTATACCCCAGTGTGGATTTATGAAGTATTCTACATCAAAACCTATAAGCGGCTGTTGAGAAGTTATAAGTAAAATCAACTTTTCTTGATAAAATGATCTTGTTCCTAAAAATCTATTTTATCTGGTGGTTTTGAATGAGAGGTTTGACTCATTAAGATCAGGTTGTACATATTATCTACATGCAAATTAGTTTTTTACTTTTTTCCGAGGTTTTTTATTTACTAATACCTGACTGACAACAGAGCTTTTCCTAAAAGAAATCTTTTTTCCATTTCAGGATTACATCAGGGGGAGGGCGGGGGGGATGTGGGTGCTGGTTCCTTCTGGCAGTAGCTCGAAAAAAATATAGATCTTTTGGAAAATATGTCCTTTACAAGGCAAGAGCTATCACTATTATCTATCTGTTTTAGTTCATACAATGTATTGTAAAGCAATATGGCTTTCAACCCAGTATGAGCCCAACATATCCTGGAAGATTACAAAGAAATCCAGGATCCATAAAGGGGCTCTGTAAAGGAGATTTGGGATAAATCCATTCCCTAGCTTAGGGATAAGTCCATGGATGGACTTGCAGCTCTGACCCATAGACAATGCACCTCTCTGCACCAATCCAGTGAGTCAACAGTCCATACAGTTTCTACATCTTGCTACCACATCATGGGTACCAAAAAGTTTGCCAAAGTGTAGACACTGCCAAGGGTCAGATTTTACCTTTAGGAAGTATGGGCAGGATTTTCAAAAGTTCCAAATAGAGTTAGCATCTCAAGTGCTGTTGACTTTTAAACAAGGCTTTTGCTCCTAGAACTGTTTAGCGCTTAGAAATTTCCACACTAAATGAAAAACATCCATGTTTGTTAGTGTTTTGGCTATGCTTTTATAACCTATAGCAATGTGTCTGTTGAGAGATAGTGAGCTATAATAGAAGAGATCTTCACAGTAAATGCACTTCAGTTTTTCTGCTAAGAAATTGCTGTTTGTCTCTTTTTCAACTATTAGATATGTTGATCAGACCTACATTATTAGAATAAATTGCTTTTGCCTCCACTTTGAAAATAAAAGGTCATTATTTGCTTCCATTTCTTTTTTAAAAAGTGACTTTAAAAGTCTCCTGCTCTGTTTAGTTACTGCTGCTCTTCTGTAGCCTGAAGGAGTCTGTCTTCCTTGGAAGGCAACATGAATGCATTTTAATCACAGCTGGTGGGAAGCATGTTTTACATAGTTACAGTTTGATTGATGAGGATCCAATTATTTTTTGGCTTAGGTATGCTGCAGCCAAAAATTATGGCTTTTGCTTTAGATAGACTTGTGCATTTAATATTCTTCCATGGAGACTCTTGGCTTTTAATTAGTAACTAAGCCTGACCTAATAGGTTGAACTTTACTGAGTTTTACTGCTCTTCTTCTGGCTCTTTTTTATCTTTGGTGATTTGTCTATCTGGAGTATTCTTTAATGCCAAAAAACCAGGTCATTACTTCTTTCTTGGAATTCAGTGTTGTCATAACACATAGAGCTTTTGCTCTCCAGCTTTCTATTAGCTTTTGGGGAAAAAACTTGGCTTCATCTTATTTCCATATATCTTCTTGCTTCTGTTGCTTTAGCTGTATGGCATCCAAGGTTTGTTAACCTATCCCTTCAAAAGAAGCAGTGTGTTTAATATGATTATGTCCAAACATTGGTCATAAAAATAATTAAGTAATGAAGACAAGGATTTAGCAGATGAGTTTGAAGCCCTCTGGATGAATCAATGACCAGTGTTTCCATTTACAGAATTTAAATGTTTTTGTTGTTTAACTTAGCTGCTGTGGATACTTCTTCATGTACTAATAGAACATATTGTAAACTTGAATATGTTTTTTCTGCTGTGTCTGCTGTTTAACAAGTCAACCCTTAGTTAATTCTTGGGATCTCTTGAGGACTTATCCAAGCAAGTTTTTCTTTGTCTTCTGAAGTTTGTCACTAAATCACTGCACTTTCTTTCCTGATTATGTAGCAGAAAATGTAACCAAAACAAGTATATATAAAATATATTTGCTATTTATTATATTTATATATATATAAATAAAACACCAAGATAGATTTTCAACCACGGGCCATAGATAATGACAGGTGTTTAGGGCAGGTATGTGGACTAAATAAACAAATACTCATATACACACAATCCAGATTTGTCTCCTTTTATGTTGGGTAAACCATGTTTGAATGTAAAGTGTAATTCTCAGATCTTTTAAGATGCAACTTATCCCTTGTTTTGTACATAGACGTTTTTGTATATATTTTTTTTTTAAAAAGGACTTTTTCTTTGAACATCTAAATAGTTGGGTACTGAGTTTGGTTCTTACGGCTCTGTGACCCTGCCAAAAGGGACATAAGCTGTACTGTCTGTAATTCTGAAAGCATTTGTCAGGCAGAGGGTCTGGCAGACCCAAAAGGTAACAAAGCCTTATTTGCTGTGCTCAACTTCGTCTTCAGTTTTCAGTCACTGGTGGTGTTTTAGTTAGGGGTGGGGGATTTCAGGAAATGAAAGAGCTTGTACTTACTAAAATTCCATATATCCATTCTTGCATTGCAGAGTGCATTTTGTGAATGCCAAGATGTTAGCAAAAGAGATTTGTTGAGATCTGGAGCAACATATGTTCTGTCTGGCATATCATGTTGGAGAACCTCTGCCAAAATGTTGTTTGGAAACATTTTTCAAGCATATGCATAACTAACACAAATGATAACGTGGTCTGCTCTATTGTGGATAGAGATTTTCTTCTAGACCACCACACTAGCCAAAAATATATATTACAAATTATTGTCATAAGTTCTATCATGGTGTCTCAACATGATTTTAAGTTCCTTGATTGTTGGTGCAAATGGTGTTCATAAAGGTATTCAATGTAACGCTGCACAAAATTCAGTTCAAAGACCACCGTCTGGGAGTAGCCTGAATAGCTTGTTCAACTGTGGGTGCATTTAACACATGCAATTAATGTGCATGAATAAACTGAGTTGACACGGCACCCAGAAGCAGTATTCATGTGCACCCAGGACTGCAACGCATTGAGCCGGGTCAGAGTAGCCCCAGCTGGCCTGGGGGGGGGGTCAGCCTGCCAGTACAGGGCTGCTCCCCCCACCTCAACATGCTGCAGAGGGACTGGCTGGGGCACAACATTGCTTCAGCGCAGAGCCAGCTGACAGGCAGCCACCATACTGAAACACCCTCATGGCCCAGTCAGCTGAGACAGAGTCTACACCTGCACTGTTGCAGGTGTAGACTCCGCAGCAGGGTAGTTACAGGTCCTACCCTGCTGCTGTGTTAATTAATTTACTCCAGCCTTATAGGGGTGCACATGTAGGCACATGGTGTTTACTGTGCAGCTAATTAGTCTACTGTGTAGTATATGTCTCATAGACATGCCTTGTGAGTGTTTCTTGAATAAAGACTTCTCATGAGACAGTGGAGACTTCTCTGGAGTAGCAATTCATGTTATATAGCATTAACTAAATAATATTTCTTACCAGTCACAACAGAACTTTATAATGCACTAACATGTGGGAAGCAGTCATGTAATAGAAAATAAAAGCATTACAGGCACAACACAAATGCCAGTAAATTAAAAAAAATACTGATCCTCAACCCCTTCCTCCCCAGTTGGAAATTAGGACTGGAAAAGAAAGGAAAAAAGGAAGGATAAAAGGAATTCAGAATAATCTAGAAGCTTTGGGTGCCAGTGAAGCAAAGCTGGAGTTCTGTGGAAAGATGAGAGTGCAGTATCTTTAGAAAAAGATAGATGTAGAAAAAAAATCCCTTTTGTCATGTTTTACTGTCCATGTACATAAGTGTCAAATATCAAGTCTATATAATACGCAGACAAGGTTCTCTGTGTAAATCTGATATCTTTTATTAGACCAACTAAATAGTTGGAAAAACATTTCTTAGCAAGCTTAAAAACCCTTCATCAAGCTGAGGAAGCATCTCTCAGCCTGACAAAGGGTTTTTAAATCCAAAAGCTTGCTAAGAAAATTTTTTCCAACTATTTAGTTGGTCTAAAAAAATATATCAGATTTACCCAAAGAACCTTGTCTGCCTATGTCCTTAGACCAACACAGCTACATCCTACACCCCTGGAAGTCTATATAATGTCTGCCTCAAAAAATGTGTTTCCTGCATTTGTCAACTAAAGCTTCTTGGCTCAATTTGGCAGAACTCAGTTTTGGGGAACACACCTACATTACTACTGCAGAATCCTTCCCATTTACAACTGTCACGGCGGCAGCTAATGAAGATTGAGAATCTTCAAACTAACAGTGTAAGTTTGTCATTTCAACTACTTAGGCCTTTCAAGAACTTTCATAAAGAAAATAGGGCTTTAGTCTATTAAACCTTGAACCATGTAGTATGTGTGAGAGTCTGTGAGATAACCAAAAGAAGATGATTTTAGTTATTTACAATACTTTTTGTTCTTCTTTATAGAAACCTGGTTTACTTGGAGAGCCTCCAACAATGTTACTTCAGACTGTATTGGGAATAGGGCCAACACCATCAATGAGTGCAGGCATGGGAAACCGTGGAGAAGCTCATACATGTAAATGATGTTTTATTTTATACCATACCAATAGAAATGTTTAGTTTGAAAATATAAAGCTAACTCTCTCCTACTCTGACAAAAGTGATAATCATAGTTTTATCATTTGTCCCTGTATAAAAAGGAAAGGAAGCCACCAAGCCAAACAACAATGTTAAATACAAAAGCAGTTAACAAAGGAAGTCTATTGATATTTGCTGTGTTGACAGGTTTGTTTTGGCTTCTTTCATGAGCTGGCACAAAGTCAGTGGCTGTTCTGTTTATCCCATTTGGATAAACTTAAATATATTTTTCTTTTAATAAAAACGCAGCAATAAAAACAGTGGACCTACATCCATTCAACTTTCAAAGTTTACATAAATGGACATTCTGGCTCCATCCTCTTCTTCAAGAATCTTTCCATGTATTTAATATTTCTTTGTACGGAGTTTGAATGGTATCCACTTCAATCTATAAAACTTTGTAAGAGCGCTGTCTATGCACATTAATTTTGTAGACTTAAATACTGAAATCCAAATACATTTAGAATAATTAGAATAGGATCATATGTCCCAGGCACATTTTCTTTCATCTTGTTACTAATTCAAGCTGACCATGAAGTTTTCCAACTTAAGTCAAGCTGGCATGTAATTGAAAGCAGAATAAAAAAAGAATAAGCAGAATAAAAAAAGTGTGTACAGGAATGGACTATATATCCCAAGAAGAAGCTAAACATAACAGACTCAGTGATTAACTACTTCATGCCAAGAATGTTTTTGACAATTTTTTTTAGCAGAAAAACGCCACTGTTTTTCAAAACCACATTATATTCACACACAAATAAAGTAGATAGCTGGCTATTCCATCTGTATTTGAATATACTGCTGTATGGATGAATCCATGTTTTTTAATCTTGCCTGTTAAATCTTAGGTATACAAAATTTGTTTGCAGTTTAAGGCTATACTCAAAGCCCTTGAAAGCCCTTCAGAGCTAAGTGTGTTCACATTTAGAATTAGTTTTACCTGCCTTCATTATGGAGTGAAATTAGCACTCTATCCTGCAAAGGATCTGTATTTTCTTTAACTATTCCAGGTGATCTGGAAACTTTTCTTGCCATAAGTTGTTAGTTTTTTAAATTTTTTACAATCTCCCAAGGTCCCTTCCAGTCCTAATGTCTATGAAATAATGTCCATGTCTATGAAAGCAGCTGGTGGTGTGATGCTAACATCTTATTTTCTTTTGGGCATGCCTAGATATGTGAATGGGAATGAATCTTATGTAGATTTACTTTGCTTAATCCCTTATGCTCTGTTTGTCTTGATATACTAGATGAGATTAAAAGGTTTTGGCTTTACTTTATAGTACTTTGGTTTTCAGTATTTTTCAATACTTGAAGCAATTGTCTTTCTTTCTCAGTCTATGCCTTTTTATTTAGGGCTTAATCTTAATGCTTTTTAGTAGAACTGAACTTTTTGTTTTTGACAAAACCTAATCGTTTGATTTTAGTGGCTTTCTTAGTTTTTAATGAGTTTTCCTAATGTCTTGTCTGTTCACATCAGGATTGAAATAGGTTTTTAGTATTGATCCTGTACTCTCTTATCTGATATATATTCAACATCACAAAGCTTCTTCTACAAGTAATTATGGTGTGGAAATCAGCTTTGTGTGCAATGCACAGCCCTGGCAGCCAATCAGGTGGGTGGGGCCACTGAGGCCCTTAGGCCAATCAGAGATGTGGGGGGAGGGGTGCTGCCATTACCCCACAAAAATGCCAGCTGGCCCTGCAATCTCCGCACAAAATTGGCTGGCTGCCTCAAGTTGGGTACACCGCTAGGTATAAGGGTTGTGTCCATCCCAGAGATTTTCTCTGCAGGTGTTCTACTTCAAATCTGTTTCTTGAACATGGAATTGTACTCAGTATTCCAGATGAGTTCTTACTAGTTCCTTGTACACTCACATAAATGCTTCCATATTTCTACCGACAGTAGCTCACCTGATACATCCTAGGATTGCATTTGCCTATTTTGCAGCCCTCTCACATTGGTAGCTCAAAGCCATTCTGGCTGCTTACAGATGTGGGGAAAAAACCCCAGACCAACAGCACTTCACTTTCAATTTGGCAAACCTCCGCATCAAGCACAGCACTTGCCCAGAAAAGGCATTGCGTCATTTTGACCCAGCTCCCCAGCATATGTATAGATCACACACTTCAGCGGGGCGTTTTGGGGCTTTTATCGAATAGCTGATTCAGTCGGCTACTATAGAAGCTGATTCAATCAGCCATTGGAAAGAAGCGCCAAAAAGCCCCACCAAAGCACATGATCTATACAAACACTGGGGAGCCGGGTCAAACTGACGCAATGCCTTTTTTGGACATGTGCTGCGCTTGGTGTGGGGGCTCGCTGAACTAAAAGTAAAGTGCTGTTTGCTTGATTGAATCAGCTATTAGGTAAAAGTGCCAGAAAGCCCCATGGAAACATGTGATCTATACAGATGCTGGGGAACCAGGTCAAACTGATGTGATTCCTCTTCCAGTAAAGCAATGTTTTGTGTTTTGGGTGTTGTTTTTTTTTCTCCCATGTCTGTCCTCAGCCTCTGTGGTCAACATTCAACCTTTCCTTCTGCTGTTTCCAACTGAGTTCCCAACTTGTGGTAGACATTCTTACCTGGGCCTTAAGCTTGTGATATCACAATTTGTATTATTAAGTTTCATCCCATTTCAATTGATCTAGGTCTCAAGAGCTTTTAGTCCTGCCTGTATGACATCCCAGCCCTTTTCTGTATGGACAGTACCTCCCAGCTTTATGCCATTGGGGAATTTCAGCAGTGTGCCAGAGATTCATTTTATCCCTGACTAGTCAGGCTGTAGCAGTGCCCATTGTGTATGAGAAAGTTGATAACTTCTGTTTGCTTGCTTCAGTGATGTTTTCTTCTGAAATACTGTTCACTTGATGAGCTGTTCAGCAAACTGGAAGTTTTAGAGATGGAAACTGAACTTTTTGCTTCCTTCCTTCCTTCAGAGCTAAGAAGTAAGAGCAAAATGAAAGTCAAAGTTTTACTTGTAACACTAATATCTTTACATATATAGAGACATCTCTCTCTCTTTTCTCTCTCTCTCTCTATAGATATAGATGTATATTTATCTATCTAGATATAGGTATATAAGTCAATGAATTTCAAGTTGACTGGGTCCGTTCAAATTGGACCCAGTCAACTTGAAGTCCATTAACTAATTTAAAAACATGGATTAAAAAGTTTCATATACTACACCTGCCTATATGTCCTTTGGTCATTTTTATGGGTTTTTCCCCTGTTTTTTCCAGAATTTTGTTATTTAAGTCCCATCCAAACAACTGTTGATTGTAACAATAAAGGGGGACATAAACTGACTCTACAAAAATTGCTGTTGAATGCATAAACTAAATATATAGGGAGACTTTTCAAATGTCTTTTATTTTCTTACATTTTACTCATATTTATTCAGAGGTAAATTATTCAGGAAAATATGTTTTCTTGAGGGTTTTTTTTTAGTTGACTGTCTCTTTTTAAAGAACTGTTGTATACACTAACCATGAGATCATTTTATTTCCTCTGAAACACAACCGCCTCTGGGTAGAACATGACACCAACAGCACTACACAGCAGTTTGACAGGAAATGAGGATGAATCCTATTTCCAAGTGAAAGTTCAGGAAGAATTTTGGTGCCCAGAACATATTTATCTACATTTGAATTTGGCCAGGATGACAGGTTTAACATCTCACCTCTAAAAATTGCCAGTTGGTGTTCACTTTATTTTAGAAAAGGGCATAGACCAGGTCGGTGTTCTGTGACACTAGGCTGGACTTTACTTCAGTTCTGACTCAGAAGGAAGGCTGCCAGTTATATATCCCTGACACTACTTCCCATGGCACGTAGATAGTTGCTGAAGGGTCTCCCAGACTGAAATGGAGCTGGCCTAACTCTGCATAACTTGAGATGGAATCAGAGCACAAATTTGTATTTATTTTTTTCAGAAAGGTTTCAGGTGCATTAGAGATGGGGTACTGTGCAGGAATTGGATTTCTTTCTGTATTTCATGATCTTTTTTCATGTGTAATTGTACATTCAAGTCTTGATTGCAGCCTGATTGTGTGATCCTTGGGTGCACTGCATGTTCCCCCTGAAGTGTTTGGGGCCACACACAGCTCCTCAACAGCTAGGGTTTATGCACTAAGTTTGGTGGGCATGTTGCACACAGCCAGTTTCCTAAAATTATAAGTAAGTGGTTATTGGGGGAGAGTGGGGATCTTGATCCTACATGTTGTCTCTAATTACTCTTCTTACTCTATCCAGAAAGTAGCATAAAACTGCTTGTGGTTTACCTACCCTGTGTCTCTTCCAATGCACGTGATCAAATAATATGTGCTGATTAAAATATATAAGCTGCTGTTTGCATCTAAGACTTCCTTGACTAGTACTATTTTACTTTAAAAACCCTCTTCCCTTCTCTTGATTCCAACCTTTGACAAGGGAGTAGCCCATAACTTCCTAAGGGTCCAGGTGGCACCTCTTAAATGTTTGAGCTCCTTTTATAGACTTCAAATAATATATTTTACAATTCTTTTGAATCTGATTCTGGTACATTGAAGATTCTTATCTTGATCCCCTCTCTTCCATCTTCCTTTGTGTTTGGCACAGAGAGTTTATTCTATCATAGATTTACATCTGCCAGTTGAGGTGAAGAGCAGTCATTTTCTCTTCCGGCTCTTCTTGTTGTATCATCAGCTTGTAAGTGATTTGTGCAAATTAAGAGCCATTGGCTTCAAGCAATTTTTTTCTCACTGCCAAGCTTCTCTCCTACTGTTTACACCGAGAAATCTATGTTGGTGACAGGTGTTGAGTATTTGCCAGGTGCTAATATTCTGCTTGCACAGATATTGCCTATTTTTAGGAAGGTTGAAGCATTTCTTTATTTAGAATCTGCTTTAAAAAAAAAAAAAGTGTGTTACTCCACGTTGGATGGACTCTTCTGTTTGACTTCCTTTGTACTCAGTCTGTCAAGGAGCAGAGATCTAATGTTCAAGTTTTATGGATACAGGTTTTGATTGTGAATTCCTTGGCTCAGTAGTCTGTGAAAAGGTCAGTGATGACACTGCATAGTATAATTTTTTACTTCTCACCCCATTTGTTTTGGGGTCCTATGTTCTGAAATGTAGAATGTGTAGCCAGGTCTCACTAAAGAAACCCTATCTTACCAGTTAGTCATTATAGATATCTTAATTTTTCAGTATTTCTAGGTATGGTTTGAATAATGTGCTTGGTTAATGGTAAATAAAAGAGTTTCTGAGGATCAAGGAGACCTAGACCACTAACTTAACCCTTGACTATTAACAGTAGTAGTAGTTTCTAGCCCTTGTGGTTGTAAGTTGACTTTTCCTTATGCAAATTGTTGCTGTTTTCCTGAGCCCACTAGCACTCCAGGGCCTCTGTTGCTGTCGTTCCTATTTTTTCTGAGCAGCATAAAAGGAAAAGTTAGCAAGATGTTGGTCAGTATGTAATACTTATGACTGCAGTGAATGCTTAGAATGAAAGCAGGATCAAGTACAGTTACAGTTTTCTTTTCTCAGATTATCTTTAAAGACAGCTCCTAGTTTTTATTATTACAGCATCCCTGGCAACCATCTTCAGGATTAAATGTTCTGTGACAGCTAGAAATAGATTTCTCAGTGTTTTTTCTTTGCTTAATAAAAACCACAAGCAAAATGTTCTGATAAATCTTGTCTAACAGAAAGGTTTCTCCATTTATGGTTGACTGCAGCATCCAGTCTGACTCCAACTGCAGCAGCAGTAGGGATGGGCATGTTTCCATTCTTTCCAAATCAGCACATTATTGGACAAGCTATACCATGGCAAAACAACACTCAGGATAAACAATCAACTACAGCGGGACTGTCAGAAGGAGCTGTCTCGGGGTCTCAGGCTTATCTGCAGAGCTTAACAAATCTCACTGCTGGAGACTTGCAGAGAGGACCCCCCAAACAGCAAAGTCAGCTAAAAAGCACTGATACAGCTGCAGGGGTAAGAAAAACAGAACATGGAGTTTTGCATTCTCCCACTCCCAGCTGCTTCTTTTTTTTTTTTGTTTTTTGCTTTAATTAAAAACTAACCACAGTTATCTTTTTTTCTGTATTTCCATTATAATGTTTGCTGGATCATAGAATTGTAAGGCACATTAAAGGAATTTCAATTACAAATCGCAGGAGAAGGACAGTAATTCATTTTGGTTGTCCAAATGAATTAACAAAGAGGAGTTTTTCTGTATTACTCTAGTCTTCATAGTTGTACCTCATAATGATGACTTGCTGAGGCTACAGGAAATTCCCCTTTGAAACAGTAAAAGCAACTTGTGATGGAATTCAGTGACTAAAGATGAGCAATTCCTCTAGTACGTGTCTTCAGGAAGCCAATTTGGCCTTCTAATCTGCATCCTTTTAAATTACAAGTGGACTTTCCTTAACATCAGATCAGTTTTAGTGTTTATTTTTTTATACCTTGTGCAGAATTAAAATATTAAAGCTAGACTGAAATGCTTAATTAAAACCTGTTCAGAATTTCCATCCATTCACAGCATTTTGTACATGAGTGTACTTGTCAGTGCCCTAAATATGATATCAGTACATTAACAGGAGTCACATGTTCATTTAATATTTTCAGAAAGACTGAATTCTTATATTATTCAATTTTGGGGGTTTTTTTCCCTTTTTTCCTAGTGCAATTGAGTTTACCAGAACCTAAGCTTTGTTGAGACCTGTTTTCTATTACAACTTTATGCTTACAGATTTAATTTAGAATGTAGTTATTTTTCATTTTAAACCCATTTTTACTGTAATGGGTTGGGCTTTACAAATTAAGCATGTTGTGGCCAGCATTTTAGTTTCATCATTTTATTGGGCTGAAAAGGAAAATAAGTAAACCATTAAAAATGCAGATGATTCAATGTGCTAAAACCTAGCCTGCTGGTTGTTTTTGAGGTTTGTCATCCCATTTCTTTGGACAGCTTCTCTTACAGATGTTATAATAAAGTTACTTCTTTTTCTGCATCAGTTGACACAAAGACCAGTTTTCTAAGCCAAAGTGCTTTTGTAGGGCCTTAAGATCCTGTGTTTAGACACTCATACTTGGTGTCTGTAATGCCAATTTAAGCATGCAGATGTAGAATTTGGACATCCAGTTAGAGTTTCCATTTTTGAAAACTGCACTTGGATTCTGTGGAAATTTGATAAATACTATTTTTAATGTTTTTCAAAGCTTTGGAACAAAATAATAGAATACACTTAGAATAAAATGCAATATCAGTCACAGCAGGCTGCACATTTCAGATGACTGATATGTTCTCTCATTTGAAATGAGCCTGTCAGTGGTAATCATAAAGACATCCACAGCATTTGATAGTTGTCCAGTGTCTCTGAAAATGAGACAGTGGACAGCAGCCCAGTTCCTAGTAAAAAAGTGTCATGGGTCCCTAAGCAGAATGGGCACTAATTGGCTCCCTTCATTGTCAGCATCAACAGAGGTCAACGTTTGAAAGGGCACAGAGACTGAACTACCAGCTGACTCAGAGAGGTAATAAAGCCCTCCCTTGAATAGGATTGAAATGTAGTGGTAGAGTGAGAGGAAGTTCATGGTTTACAGACTTTGACAACATGCCATTTACTGTGATCATTATATTCCCTAAAATTTTTTTTGCTATAATTTAAAAAAATGCAGAGCTGACCTAATTGGAATAACTTGGTGTCAACAGTAGAAAAGGCAATTTGTAGTTCAAAAGGTTGTGCCAGTTGTGATTACCAGGAAAATAAGGAATTTTAGGGTGTAGTAGGTAAAGAGATGGGTGGAAACTCTTAATTGCATAGCCCAAATTCTCTGTGGCCTCAACATCCTTACAGTCTTATGCCCTTAGAAAGTTTATATAAGACATTTAGTTTATCTCTGTGGAGTGTCACTTAGGCTTCTGTGATTAGCCTACTAAGTAGATTTTTGGTCAACTCTATTTTTTTTTAGAGATCGAGAGGTGACGCGTGCTTCAGCATAGAACAGCTCCTTTTGTGTTTATCCATCATTAACTGTAAATGCTTCTTGCATCATTGTCATGACTTACCTGGAAAGCCATCCCCTTCAGATGGAGGGAGAATTGTTTCTGGCAGATGCTGAGGATACTTTTGTTAGAACCTGTGTAAGATTAACTAGTTGATTTGCCACAGCCAGCCACCAAATCTTTATTTTTTCTGCTGTATCAGTAATTCTCTTGCTAATGCATAAAATGTTAGGATTCTTCCTACCTAGACACTAATGGTATCACTTTCAAAGCCATCAGCCCTGGGCAATGATCTTGTCCCTCAACACAGCTCTTTGTTTTTGTGTTTCCTGGTGGCCCATCAGACTGCACCTCCAACTGCTGCTGTCCTCCGCAGACAGTCTGCCCCTGTGAAGGACATAGCACCACCATATAAACTTTTTATCATAGTTTCAAATATTGATATAATTCTGCTGTCTTGAGGGGGTGGGTATGTCCCAGTGCTTCCATCCAACTACTTATTCAATCCTTCTTTTTTTCTCTTTACAAGTACTACTGAAGCCAGTAAGTAGATTGATCAGAAAGTTGTTAGCATGTCCCAAGAATTCCACCTCCATACAGCATAGTTCACCAGGCCTTGGTTTGCTGTGAGGCTAGGAGGCTTGAATTGAATTTAGTGTTTGGTCACATCCATACAGTTCATTTAATTAATCTGAGGATTTTTAGTAGAGCTTTAAATTTACTCAGGAAATCCTTGGTTTCAACTGCTAGATCAGCAGTCTGTACTGTAAAGAGAGACTTTGCTCACAAACTACTTGGCAAGTAGGAAAAAATTAAATCTTAGCAATGCGTTCAGATGTTTTGCTTCTGTACTTATTTGGAAAGATTCTGGTTTTAGAACCGTGAGTTAAAGTCCTCTAGGAATACATACATGCCATTGCTTTTGAAAAAGGGAAAGATAATATTTTGAATACATAACAACATACATATTATATGTTTTACAGATTTCCTCAAAAAAACAGACCTCGCTGCTGGGGGATCCACCAAAAGAAATCCGGCTTAGTACCAATCCCTACTTGAATTTGGCAAGTGTGTTGCCTGGTATGTGTCTTTCAGGTAAGCAGTGATTCAGCAGATGCCTGTAGTTTTGCTTTAAAGTTTTCTAGAGCAGAGTATGGTAAACTGCTACTCTATTAACCGAAGGGTGGCAATGACCACAACATTTGTCACTGATAACATCTTGGATTCTGTTTTTAAAGAACTTGTAATAAGAGGAAAATAAATTGGTATAAATTATCATCTTAGCTGACTTTCTGTTTGGAAAACAGGGGCTATATTAGTGCTTCTTTTTATGTATGTAGAGATGTTATGTTGGTTTAGAATTTCTGATACATTTTTATCTCCCATGAATCTCTTCCTATTAATCATACCACTGTGTATATGTTGTTAGTTGTGTGTGTGATTCTGTGGTAACAAATTTCAGTTGTAGGGCAGTGTTCTGGGTTTGTGACATTGTTACATGTGTGAAACCATGATAACAAATTTCTTTTGTATGGCAGTGTTCTGGGTTCCCAGCAACACAAAAGAAATCAGACTATGCTCCTAAATGACAGCGCAGCATGTTTCAACTGTGTGTATTTGTTTTGTTATGAACAGCAATTGCCAGTAAAGCCCCTAATGCTCAACAGCAGACTGGACTTTCAAGCCATGTGCTAGATGCTGGTGTCTCTCAGGGAAATATATCACAACATGCAACAGAAAATTATTTGAATTGCTCTCAGCAGCAGGGGGATTATCCGCAGGTATGTAATTAGCAGTACTGCCTCCCCTGATGGTGGTCTTGGTTGTCATGTTCAAAGCTGTGGCGGAGCAACATGCCCCCTCGCTGGGCCTGTGTGTATTCAGGTTCCCTCAGTCTGAGCAGACTGCAGCATGATTTCTTCCTTTGGGCAATGTACTACCCTAATGTACTCTCAGGGTAGGTGCTCTCTGTATTCCCCTTACCCAGAAATGGAACCAGAAATTGGAAATGGCTCAACTAACCCAGACTCCTTGGTAGCTTAAGTGCACCCTCTCCTAGAGCTCCAGCTTTAATAGGGTTCTCCGAGTTTAATTTTACAGCAACATGTGTCAGGTGTGACACACAAATTACTAATTACAAAAGATGTACAGATCTACACAAAATAATGAAGCTTAGGCACATTTCCCTGTCTCCGCATCTGTGCTACTTTGGTGCATAACTCTGGGCTTAATTCAGAATTTGACAAATTGTCCAAAATCTTCCTCCGTCACTTCCTGGCAATAGCTTCTGCTTTTCATCTGACTTTCATAGATTCATAGATGTTAGGGTCGGAAGGGACCTCAATAGATCATCGAGTCCGACCCCCTGCATCAGCA